ATGCCTCCTGATGTTGTGCCGTCCATTCGAAATTCCCTTGGTTGAGACGGAGGAGTGGAGAGAAAGCCTGAGTTCGCCCACTCAAATTAGATATGAATCTCCTTAAAAAGTTGATCTTACCTAATAGAGATTTCAACTCTTTCTTTGTTGATGGAGGTTTCGTCTCCATAATAGCCTTCGTCTTGTTCAAGTTAATTTCGATCCCCTTCTTATGGACCACAAAGCCTAGGAAATCCCCAGCCTGCACAAAGAAAGCACATTTAAGAGGGTTCATTTTTAAGCCATGTTTTCTCATTCTTTCGAATGACTGGCAAAGGTGAGTCAAATGATCCTCATCAGAAACAGATTTGACTACTATGTCATCTATATAAATCTGCATAAATGATTCAATGAAATCATGGAAAATGGTGTTCATTGCCCTCTGATATGTTGCCCCAGCATTTTTTAGTCCAAAGGGCATAACTACCCATTCATAAGTGCCTAAGGCGCCTGGACATCTGAACGCAGTTTTGGGAACATCATCCTCAACAATAAAAATCTGATTATACCCAGAGTATCCATCTAACATACTCATGTATTCGAAACCCGCAGCAGAATCAATCAGCATTTCTACTATAGGCATGGAATATTCATCTTTTGGGGTGGCGGTATTTAAATCCCTAAAATCTATGCAAATTCGTAAAGATCTGTTTTTCTTAATAACAGGTACAATATTAGCAAGCCATTCTACGTACCTTGTGGTCCTGATAAACTTGCATCGAAGGAGCCGTTCCACCTCTGCCTTTATTTTTGAGAGGATTGCTGGGGCGAATCGTCTAGGCATCTGCTTGATGGGCTTCTTGCCATCCTTGATTGGAAGCCTATGTTCCACCAGTTCCCTCTTTAAACCAGGCATTTCGTTGTAGTCCCAGGCGAAGCAATCTCTGTTTTGTTTGAGCACTTCGACCACCTTGCCCTTTAGACTGGGACTGAGTTTCACACTGATGTACGTAACTCTTTTTTCGACGCCATCCCCAATATTAACTTCCACCAAAGGATCTTGCGCCAGCATCTTAGCGCTTGTTGACTCTAGATCCTTCTCTAACCCCAATGGCTCTTGATCATAAATGGCATCTAGCCGTTGATCCACTAGTTCGGAAGTTTGTCCATCACAGGGTGGGGGTGAGTGGTTTCCCTCAGGATTTTCTATCTCTTTTTTTGTTTTTTCTTTTTTATCTATGGCTTCGACAGCCATGTTTTGTATTTCGGCTTCGAGAGCCGTTTTTCGTTTGTTCTCATCCAGATAGGCCGAAATCTTTTGGTAGTAACTTGACTCAATCATAATGATCTTCGCTTCCCCAGCCAGTTGGCCGTATCGTCGAAGTCTCTCCATCTTCCTCAATCTCCTGCCCATCCCACATGAATTCCCTATCCCATTGGAATCCATTGGGATGAAGGGTTAAAGAATAGTAAGTGTTCTCATTGGGCTCGAAATATTCCTCAAGCGGGTGACATGGCCCTATGTTGGCCATATTTCGATCAAAGTTTCTTTTGTCCACGTTGTTGATTTCTGTCATATAGTAACTTTGGTCTGCTTCTATGTTTTCGACACCTGGAGGCCTAGTGGGAGTCGAACACTGTTGATTCCCTACGTGTGGCACAGTTTGCATTGAAGACACGTTTGATGGCATTTCTAATGTACTTACTGGGACCGTATTCGAACTGCCAACAGGGATGGTATTTGAGGCATAAATCGAACTTGAAACGATTGTTGCAGCCCCCTGTGGGGGATTTTGTCCCCTATCTTGGTTGGTTGTGTTAACCATTGTTTTGATACGTTGTCTTCTGGGTATATGTGGATTATTATCCTTTATTTTGCCGCTTCGAAGGTTCATGTACCGAAATGCACTCCAAACTCAGAAGATCCTAAAATTCTCTAATCGGTTTGATAGAAATTTTTATTATGACACTGTCCCACCGGGTGTACCAATTTGTTTACAGTGATTTCTAGTAAACAATCACTAGTCTTCCAATTTATTGATTATTATTTGTTACTTGCAGGATCGACTAGATTGATCCTAGGACACATGTGTCATAACTCATTTCTATGTTCATACCCATTATCTTGATGAACTTATATTGTATGTTAATGTCGAATGTGAGATTCTTAAGAAATATCTCTAAGATTGTCTATAGAAATAAACTGACTGAATGTACAAAGGAAAGGCTTCGAATTAGACTTAAGATTTAATACTTGAATGTAAAGATAAGGAGTTTCTGAGAATATAACAGTTTCTGGAAATATGAAGTGTTTGAACAAAAGGATAAAGTAAAAGTGAAGTTTCTAAAGAGATAAATGTGTTTGAAAGCAAGTAAAACAAGGAAATAAAAGGAAATCGAAAGATTTAAGAGCAAAAGTACTGTAAAAGTGAAAGAAATATAAAAAGACTTGTATTGAAATTATAAAGAATCATGATGTTTAATACGTACATTTTGTCTTCTAACTCGTTTCCCTTAAGTCACGGTAATTTGAGTGTTTGAGATTTTTTAGTACACGAAATGAACACCCCAATTCTAACATAAAAACACCTATTTATAGTATCCTGACCCTAACGGTCCTACTCTAAAATCATGCCACGTTCGAAGCATGCAGGCTCCTTACGTATACTAACTTCCACGCGTCTTCTAAGAATGACGCTCTTATTTGAAATTCGAACCCTGTGCCAGCGAAGTATTTTGCTAGTTTTCTTCGATTCGAATTAAACCATTTGCCTGGACCACTTCCAATTCTGGCACATTTGCACAAAGGAACTCTTTATATTTTAAACACTAAAAATCCCAAATCGAAATCCATCATCTATCACTGGAAATCGAAGAGTTCTTTAGAACAATTTGCTTTATATTTCCCACCAATATTCATCATTGATATCAACCTCCTTATATGCTTATTCAAAACATTGTTTTGATATCCAATTATTCTTTATTCGAAATTGCCAGCTAACAGTTACCTAATAAGCGGCCACCTCAATTTTTTTGGGTTAAAAAAAAACCTAAATTTTTAAGTGGATATGAATCTGAATCGGGTCCATTAAAAAATTTATTTAAAATTAGAATTTGGAAAACTGCTTTCTCTTTTCAAGAAAGAAAGTAATTATTACTATTCTGCACTAAGACAAACCATCAGATGTGCCAAAATTTTATTTTATTTATTCTATTTAATGTCTAGGCCATTGGATGAAATAAGAGATTAACAAATTCTTTTCCTCAGCCTAGATATTTTACTCAAAGAGAAAATTTGTAATGATTCTTCCTATATAATAATTATTACTCTCTATTCTAATACTTCATCTTTTTTTACAATAAGTGACTTATTTAGAATAAAATAGTATCCTAAAATAATGATTCATTTTAAATTTTAATATATTTTTTCAATTTTATCCTTTAATTAATTAAATTTTTATTATTTCTAATATATGATTAAGATACTATAATAAAAATATTTTTTTTTATATTTTTTTATTTTTTTAATATGTGTAAAATAGTGAACTGAATCAATAATTATGAAACAGAAGAAATAATAATAATTATATTTCAAATCCTTTTTCAGCTTATGTTTCGATTATTATTATTAATATTACTCCTTAAGAACTCTAATAAAATCGCATTCCGCCTCTAAACACTCTTTACTCTAATGGTTATGATTTGGAACTTATTTTTTTATATATGATTATTTTTGACATGTGTATAAAATTATGTATATATAAATATATATTTTTATCAGTAATAGCAACTTACGTTTCGTGCTAAGATTCTCGAGTTACTTTTTTTCAATCCTCTACCGTTTTCGTGTAAACTCTAGAGTTTTTAAACATTTCTAGAAACCTTTTATAACAAGAGTTGTAAAGCGTCAAATAAAGATATATATTTTTAACCCCATCGAGGTGACAGAGCACAAGCAACATCACTTTCCCAAGTTGTCCTCATCTGATCAACTTCACAACCAGATGACCTATTCTTTGAAGGATTAAGACCTTTTTTTAATATAAGAACAAGACTTCCAATATGTTTGTAACGGCCCAGTCACTACCAACACATTATCACACTTTTTGCAACGTATAACATTGTTTCACATAAAAGAAAAAGTGGTATCTCTCACTCTCAAAAGAGAACAGAACATGACACAATATTCCTAGAGTGTATTTGCTGTAATATTGAGTACTAAGTTTTCAGAATTTTATTAGCACTAGTATTAATCAAAATAGTGGCATGCACATGGTTTAAGGTGCAATCTTTTAAAATAAATAACTGGAAATCTTTTACTTGGGTGTTATTTTAACTGGACATGCCTATTTATACCGAGTTTAACTTAGGCTCAACCTATTCCAAGTTGCCACTCCTAGATTGAACTCAAATTAACTTCTCAATTTCTAGCAAACTAATTATTCTAGGTCAGTATCATACTTGAATATGGGTGACAAGCATTGCATCCTTTAGAGACAAGATGCACTGCTATGCTTCCTTAGATCCTGAGGAGGAAACCAATGGATGTTCGGTAACTGATAATGTTTGAACAATCAAATCTAGTTGAGTTAATGGAAAACTACATGGTTCCTTTCATGCCAAATGAAAGCCATAAGAAAACCAAACATATAAGAGCAAGAAGCCTTAATTGGCCACCCAAACGCCACATTTGATATAAATGGTGTGTGACCTAGATCGATAAGTTTTTATGCCAGTACTAATGCACTGGATCACCGGTGCCAAAAAAAAATTCATCTATATATACCTAAACCTCACATTACTATAGGTACAACTCTTGAACTACAAATACCAGTAACAAGATTGAAATTTCCATAACTATTATGATATAGTACTACAATATATAACCTAGATAACAAAATATATATCCTCAGCTACTGTCACAAAACTGACCCATTAGTAGCTTCATAGGTGATAGGACTCCTTGCTTGCAGTACAAGGCATTTGATATTCATTTACCATGCACTAGGTCTAGGAGTAGGTCACTTCTCCATATAAGCAGAATTTCCCCTCCTTCCTCCTCCTCCTTGATTTTTTCTTCTTCCTCGATTCATCTGATACTCGTTCGTACCATGACGATATCCCTGGTTCTTAGACCATGTCATGTTATTTTCTCTGTTTCTGTTATAGTTATATCCATTCCCACCATTTCTTCCTTGTTGATACTTGTTACACAAGTCACCACCATATCCCTCCCTCCAATTCCATTCCTCAGAAACATTTCGACTATCAACCAAAGCAGCACATTGTTCCCACGAGTTGGTTTCATTATTTTGATGCTGGTTTGATTCCCATCCTAAAGCCTCATAGTTTGTTTCAAAAGGCTTTGTTTCTTCGTCATCGTCCCCCCATCCCGGACCCGAAAAGGACTGATTCAATATAAAAGAATCCCCGAAAATCACAACCTCCTCGCCTTTTTCTTCCACATTTGTAACATCTAATTCTCTTTCCAAATCCAAATAAAGTTCAGTATCAACGCTTGCATTCGAATCTACATCGTCGATATAAACATTAGGATCCGGCAACGGTATATCATAAGGAAAGCCATTGATCTCAGCCCAAAACCTGTATTTTGCATTGTCAAACGCCTCTTTGACAGCAGAATCATCCCAGTTCATCACATTGTCATGCAGATACATATACCTCTTGTTTTCCACTATCTTCCCCCATGGAACTGAACCAACCGAAGCACAGAACTTCTTTTCCCACGAAGGCACCGTTGGTACCAAAAAACGATTATCCAACGACGGTTTTCCGTTACAAGATAAGGATCGCCACTGACCCTCTTGATGATAACCATTCCCTTGTTGATTTCTCCAAGTAGTCATTTTCAAGAAGCAAAAAAGAATGGTTATTGAGAAAAGTTTGATCGAAGACGGAACATAAACAAAATTGAAGAAAAAACTACAAAACTTTGAGAAAATAGATAAACAGAAACGGATTTCACAAAGAACAAAAGGGTGGTGTGAGAAGAAGTAGAAGGAAGAACGATGGTGATGATTTCGATACAATGATAGAAGAAACGATACGATTCTCTCAAGAAGGAGAAAAAAGAACACTTTTTAAGAATTATAATTAAGTTTATTTAATTTTTTTATTCAATTTTATGTGAAATAAGTAATCTACTTTTTTAAGTTAGATAGTCATTTCCTCATTATGTCATGATTAATGTAAACATATTTCTAGAACAATAGCATTATTTGCAGAGATTAACTTATAGTAGAAGTATCTTTAAAGTAAAAAAAATATTATTATTACCGAAAAAAAAAGGTAAAAAATATTCTTAAAACGTTTTTATAAATATAGTCAAAAAATTATTGTTAAATTCTATTTTTCTTTATACGAAGGGATCCAAGGCCAAAAATAATAATAATTGATATACTAGTTTTTTCATGATATTTTTTATTTTATTTTATTAAATAACTAATGTAGTTTATCTATATAATAATTTGCCTTTTATAACAATAACACTATATTTGCATAGATTAGTTTATATTTGTTTATATTTCAAGTCAAAAATATTATTAAAACTTTTGTTTTAAATATAGTAAAAAAAAAATTATGTATATTAGATTTTGTTCTGGACTGGGCCCACCTTGGTCCAAAAGCAAGAACGAAGGCCCAATCCAAGCAACTCTTCGAGGAGCGCGCACCCGAGGATTCCCGTCAGCGCGTCCGACTAGAATGACAGTCGTGCCCGTCGTTGTCCACGAACATGGTGTTCTCGACCACGGGAAACTCCAGCTCGAGCCCAGCTCGAGCACCTTCCTCGTAGGGCAGACTCTGACCGTTACCAAATCACCTGAACTCCGGAAAGACCGCGTCTTCGTCCCTCCTCATTTCTCGCAGAGCATCACCAGGAAGGAGACCACGTACGGGTCCCTACTACACACATAGAACCTGACAATTTCTTTATTGGACCAGTTCTGGTCGGCCCAATGAAGGCACCTTGGCCCCGCGCTGGGGACTATAAATACCCTCTGTTCTTAGAGGGTCAGGTATTCATTCTTTTACCCATACATACACTTTTTTGCCTGCTCGTACCATCACTCACTTTAGCATCGGAGTGCCTTGCAGGTATCCCCCCATCTCACTCAACTTCCGCTCGGAGCCAGTCGTGACGGTCCAAGTCTGATCAGGTAAGATCAGCGGTGCCGTCTGTGGGAATCTAGCTTCCCCGTCTTACAAAACCTCGAAGACCAAAGCTCAATTTCACTTCCTACCGTCATGGCTGAACAAGTTCGTGATGACCAAAACATTCGCGTCGTCGACACCAACAACGGCCTCGCAGATAAGAATGGACTCCCCGACAACACCGGTAACCCCGGTCATAACATACACACTCCCCGGGAGCACCAACCTCGGGCCCTCAGTCCACTGCGACGGAGTTACTGCCTCATCTTCTTCAGTCCCTCCGCCGCTCGAAGAAGACAACGCAGCTCCCACAAGCCATCGAGCTGCCCAATTTCAGGAAGTCCCTGTCCCCGCCGGGGCAGATGTCACCACCCGTGCACTATTCGCGGCGATCAATCAGACGAACTACCTCATCTTCGCCCAGGGGGAAAGATTGAGGGCACTAAAAGACGATCGAAGACCCGCGAGGAGACACAGGAGGCCCCAGACTCCACCTCTTCGAGTGACAGAGGTACATCTCCCGTCTCCCCCGTGGAGACAATACAGAGACGCCTCCAGAAGCCCGTCACCCCGACCCTCGGGGAGACGACCCCCTTTAGAGAGGCAACCCGTCATGGAAGTTGGGGGACGCGGCCACACCCCCATACGGAAAGAAAGAAGACACTATGGAGACAGGCACGGAAGAATCAACTAATGACCACCACGCTCGAGGGATGCCCAGCACGACCAGGACCATCGGGCTCAACAATATTATAGGTCCCCATCCCTGTCCCCGGAGCAAAGTGACGAGGACGACCCCCGCGGTCCCCTATCACAAGCCATCATGGAGGCGCCCATCCCCCCGGGCATGGAGAAGCCTCCACATCTGAAGGAATACGACAGAGTCGCGGACCCGGTCGACCACATAGACGGGTTCGAGGCTATGCTGCACTATCACAACGTCGGGGGACCCATCAAATACCGATTGTTCCCCACCATCCTCAGAAACGGGCGACCCTCGTTGTCCATAAGAGGCTCCCCGTTCTCGTCAGCCACTGCGGTCTCCTCTTCATATATAGAATCCAGATCAGTCTGGGTGATCGGCCGCACGACATACCATTTGTCCTTGAAACCCCGGACCGAATCCATGTACATCCTGAACAGTCTCTTCGACTGTTTCAGGGAAACCAACTATGCCTGACTCCTCGAGACTGGCGTTGCAAGTGAAATACTCTGAAGAAGAGAGGAATGGTCGCCCCGGTCCTTAAGAAGCGACATGTCAGCTCGAACGCCCGAAGAAAGGCGATGGAATTGGGGTGAAGCTACGAGGGGGCCAAGTCCAGATGGCAGAATACCCCGATCTGGAAATCACTGAAAGGGAGTTTAAGGCCGAGGTCCTTGAACGCAATTTCATACATGGGAAAACCATACTCAGAACTCCGAACAGATCCGCGTATCGAGAGACGGCCTTGTGACAACAAAGTTCTTCTGGAAGCCCGGTTGTCTACCGCCGTGTTCGACGATAGTGTAGGCGCTCCGACTACGCCGACTATATGCTGAGGCAATCCCTCGGGGCTCGGTGCCCACCCAATCCAGCGAAGGATCATCAACAGTGTCAACTAGGGTTACATTCTCCTCGGAACTCTGGTCCTCGACCTTATTACGCCCCGAAGACTCCGGTTCGTCATCCATTTACCTGCAAAGCACAGGAAACCGGTGAGATTCGAGAGCCAATCCATATGCTCGCCATAACTGACGGGAAGTAGGGCACGACAATCCAAGACACACTCCACGCGCGTTAAAACGTTGAGGACTCGAACAAGATCCTGGTTTCGCCTCCCCGATGCTAAGGTGCCACGACGAGTTGTCCTACATACTTCCTAATGGGCCAACGTCCCGACCAGCCATGGATACGCCGACCTAAACTACGGATGTGACGGGCAATATCATGAATCCTAAACCTAGAACTATGGGTTTACCGGGCAGTATCATAGAATTATGCGCCCAAAACCATGAAGGTCCCGGGCAGCATCGCGAGTCACATACCTAAAACATGAATATATCGGGCACAAACATGAATGCACCGGGCACAAACATGAATGTACCGGGCTCTAATCCCAGATGTGGGTTTCTAACATCCAAATAACGGAAAAATTACCTACAACGGAGAAAAATGGGAGGGATAAACGCTTACTTGGAAGTTAGGAAGAAGGTACCGCAGCGGTGGAGGAAATCAACGGCGGAAGGTACGGTAATCTGGCGAAGTTGTAGAGAAACAGCGGCGGCAAAGGCAGAGGAAGAAGGAGAAGCGCGAAGAGGAAAAACGAATTATGGGACCCAAAGATCCTATTTATAGGGATGACGTGGAATATTAAACGTCACCCCGGGGAACCACGAACTTCCCCTCCTCAACGTCTACTCCCCTAGGCAATGATGGCCCTACTCTCGCTAGGGTGGCGTCACGGTTCCCAAGGGTTGCCTCGTGTACTCAACGAACACAGCCCGCGAGGAATCCCTCGAGCACGCATAGACAAGGATTACGCCACAAGCGCAACTCATGAGAAACTTCTCGAGCAGTCACGGGGAAGCAAATATCCTGGGTCGGGCATCAGACCCCGTGGCAAAAGCGAGCTGAGGTCAAGTCATAACTCCTGTTCTAGGAGCCACGACTTGGGGGGCTCCTGTTCTGGATTGGGCCCGCCCTGGCCCAAAAGCAAGAACGAAGGCCCAATCCAAGCAACTCTTCGAGGAGCGCGCGCCCGAGGATTCCCGCCAGCGCGCCCGAACAGAATGGCAGCCGTGCCCGCCGTTGCCCGCGAACATGGTGTCCTCGACCACGGGGAACTCCAGCTCGAGCCCAGCTTGAGCACCTTCCTCGTAGGGCAGACTCTGACCGTTACCAAATCACCTGAACTCCAGAAAGACCGCGTCTTCGTCCCTCCTCATTTCTCGCAGAGCATCACCAGGAAGGAGACCACGCGCGGGTCCCCACTACACACGTAGAACCTGGCAGTTCCTTTATTGGGCCAGTTCTGGTCGGCCCAATAAAGGGACCTTGGCCCCGCGCTGGGGCTATAAATATCCTATGTTCCTAGAGGATCAGGTATTCATTCTTTTACCCATACATACACTTTTTTGCCTGCTCGTAACTCACTTTAGCATCGGAGTGCCTTGCAGGTACTCCCTCCCCCCCCCCCCCCCATCTCACTCAATTTTCGCTCGGAGTCAGTCGTGACGGTCCAAGTCTGATCAGATAAGATCAGATTTTATATTTTTTTTATGAGAAAAAAGTTGATGTATCGAAGGTGTAAAATAATTTTACACTGTCAACCAATTACAATCATATACTTAAATAAAACATATTTTTATTTTAAAAAGAATTAAATAATATATATATTATTTGTTTTTTATTAGATGATAATGTAAAATTATTTTACACTATCAATACATATCAATTAAACTCTTTTTTATACGGAGGTCCAACTCTAAAAAAAAATTACTAAATTGATTAGTCTTTTTTCTAAAAGATATTCTATTTTTTTAATTTATTATATAATTAATATATTTAATTTATATAATAATTTATTTTTTGTAAAAAAAATAGGAGTAGTATTAATTTTTTGCTTTAATCTGTATAATTTTTTTAAATTTGATATTCAAAACTATTTTTTATTTTGTTTTTTATTTATTTTTTATTTTAATTTTTTATAAAATT